AGGACAAAGCGGTGATTGAGCTGCATCTTTGAGAGTCTTTTTTTCTGGCAGTGAGCATGCAATACAGCCAGAAGGAGGTTGTGGAGTGGATAACCAAGCATTCCTCATCCTCCTCCTTCCAGCTGCTGAGTAGCGCATTTTCGTCAGCAGCTGCATATCCACCCTCTTCTACCTCCTCCTCTACAGTTAATTCTATGATTGCCCTGCAAACTAGCATGGAGGAGTGTGCTGAATGATTTCAGCACAGCATAAGTAGCTTGTTGCAGGAGGATGCACAGGAATAATTTCAGAGGAAATGTGCCAGGAGCATAGAGGGAGGAGACAACAGGCAAGGAAGAAGGAATTGCCATTAATATCCCTGCAGCTTATTGCCAAGTGGGCTCGAAGGTGGGGATGATGAGGTGACAGACCATACAAGGGTACCAGAGATTGTATAGGAGGGAAGCAACAAAAGGCTCACATTCCTGCCCCCTTTCCACCCCTCCCCCACTCCCCAAAAATCCCCATTTGCATTTGCTGAAACCTCTGTGGGCTTAAGTGACAGGGATGGAAGTCTCACAAGGGCTTTGAGAGGCTTAGCTAATGGCATGTCAAGCGGGAAAGAGGGTCAGCATTGGGCCAAGCAGAGTAGGACCAGACCAGTAGTGGCTTGAACTTTACTAGAAGTCTGCTAACCCTTTTGTACCAGCAGCATCCTTGACCAGGCAGGTGTCTCTTCTCCAGCTCCTGGGGTGGAACAAAAAGTTGCCACGCAATCACCCCCATGCCCAGCATCTCAAAGCCAGCTTGGCAAAATTGCTGGTTTTATAGCTGTTCCCATTCCAGCTGGTGGAGTCTGTCCTATTCTGTAATTTTGTCGACTGTGCTGCACCAAAACAGGTACCATCAGATGGCCATCCCTGTCCTTCACCAGCATGTGAAAAGTAATGTCTTTGTGTGTCACAAAGACACATAGTCCAGTAACCATGGGCAGATACGTTACATCTGTTTTGCAGTGCACTGGTTAAATTCACTGGCAACTGGGAAGGATGTAAGGTGGCGCACGCCTCTGGAGCTGGTGATACCACTCCATGTCATGCACCTTGGTGATGGTGACAGCTCAGTCATGTTTAACCTCTCCATCTCACTGGCCTCATCCAGTGACTTCTCAGCAGTCCTCCCCAAACAAATGCAGAGCTTTTACAATGGTTAAGGCAAAATGCTGCCATGCTGTTTTGCAGTTGATATGCTTGGGGGATAGGAGCTACACTGGTCTAGAGATCCTGGCAGCTCTTTAGGAGCAGGTCGAAAGATGATTGACTCCATACCATATTGTGCCAGGAAAGATAATTTGTGACAATGGCACCAACCTGCTGTCTGCCTTTCAGCAGATAACGTTTACACACATGCCATGTCTGGTACACATCCTAAACCTGGTGGTGCAGTTTGGTACCCTGGCTTGCATGATGTTCAGCAGGCCAAAAGAGTTTGCAACTGCATCAGGTCATACCGAGCAACTGTTCACCTGGCACAAATGCATCTGCCTGCTAACCACCTGATATGCAATACACCCACACTCTGGAACGCAACGTTGGCCATGCTGCTGGGGCTACACCTACAGCAGTGGGCCATCAATTGGTATTTGTGCAAGTATGAGAGTAAGACAGGCTGGGGATATGTGGTCTTTGGTGCCTCTGCAGCCCTATTCTGGTGCTAAGGCACTGCAAAGGTGCCAAACATAATTTTTCAGCAACTTGGCCTCAGCCACAACATTTTTATTTTTTTTCTGCAGGATCAATCCTGCATGTAATCTCAAAGTTTCCAGTGTATTCTCTTGAGCAGGCACTGGTAAAGACAATACACAGTCAATTTCAGTGTAAATCATGCTCTGTGTCTAGTTTTGGTCTATTCCACTGCTCCAATAATTAAGGTATATGTGGCTATTGTCTCTTTGCAATAGTGTACGCCTAACTTTGATTTCTTGGATACAAACTGTGTGGTCTCTCCCATTAAACTGTAGCCTACTAAAAGTCCTTACATATTGTGCATTCAGTCAGTACAATGTGTTGCTGACTTTTTTTGGTAAAACATTCCTTTTGGGATACCACATGCAAGTATCCTGCAATGCATGTGTGACCAAATATCTGAACTGTACAACAGCAGGTCTTCAGGACTCACACCAGGGAACTTGTTCATCCCACACCTTCAACATGGTGACAAGGTTCACCAGGGATGGCTGCTCTTCATAAAAAGCACAGGATCTCCTCCATGCCAGATGTCAGAAACAGAAACAAGAAAAGTGCCTTTTCCTTGTGTAATTTTGTTGCAACAATAAACTTTAAACAAAAGCATAAAAATCTACTCACATTAAGGTGTCTATACTCACAGCAACATGCATCAAAACAACAAAGTAGCTGCAAGGCACTCATGGTATCATGTCCAAATTTGATTGTGACTGCAATGTACCTTGATGTACAGGTAACCAGCTAACATATGCTGACTACCAAGTTTGCAATGATATCATGGCTTAACGCTTTTTCGGGAACATGCCCCCTTCATCAGAGTCGGTGGCTCTGATGAAGGGGGCATGTCCCCCAAAACTTGTATTTTAGCTGGATATTTGTACATCAAGGTACATTGCAGTCACAGAATATAAGGCCTGTGAGGGCCTACGCCACCTACCTTAATAGCTGTCTCCAATTCTAAAGGCTTAATGGGTTCTGGAATGTTCTCATAGTTGAGGTTTACCTATGATGCCAATTACAGGCCTCTCTCATCTTTTTAAGTGGGAGAACTTGCACAATTGGTGGCTGACTAAATCCTTTTTTGCCCCACTGTAACGTCTTAGGTTAGATGAGCCTACCTCAAATATTACCTTATATGGTCCGTTTGTGCATGGAGGGCCAAAGTAGAGCTGTTTCTGGGTAGATTATAGAGGCCCATGTAGTGCAGAGACATTGAGCAAATGCATGTTCACTCACTGTGCTCTGCTTTCCTCACTGACACCTGCTACACCAGTCCTGGGCCCACAGGAGGGGCAGCAGAGCTTGGATATTTTCACAAAGTATGTAAGTAAACAGTATTTTAATTTTTTTTTGCATTAGTACATTTCCTTCATGGCAGTGCCCTGATCCCCATGCCATTTTGTTTGATATCTTGCCTATTAGCCTTAAAACTATTTTCATGGTCATGCAGTGTTTGTGGAGTTTTTATATATTTTTTTAATTTTTATTTGTATTTTATACATTGTTGCTCATTTTTGTTCATTTTATTTCTGTTTATGCTTAGAGGATTTATTGGGATATTTCCACATATAATCTGAGGTTTTATTATTATGACTTGAGGCATGTTCCCCTTCTTCCGTGCTCCTTTTTTTTGTTTTGTTTTTTGGATTCACCAGGTTGGCATGCGTTATATGCTGTCGGCATAGTGTATACAACTAGATGTGGCTCTAGCCCTGCACATATACTACAGTAATGAGGAAGTCTTTTATATTCCTCAGTATTGACAAAGCCCTGCACATTTATTACTACCTTTATGGTAATGTGAAGTTCCCTTGTGTATATAAATGTTACTCAGAGTTCGGATGCTTCAGACCCCTGATAAAGTCGCGCTGGATGTAACGTACGTAGGGTGGAGCATCTGACGTCATCACTTCAGTGGAGCCGGACGGACGGGAGCTGTATTGCATGTTCTGTACTCAAGTACATTGAGGGAATCCCCTGTGGGAATCTTTTATGCTGGCTATTTCTTGCCATTGTGTAAGTACATGTTTTTATCTAATACATTTTATATTTTTGGATGGTACGCACTATGTGTCTTTTGCTTTGTTTCTTATCAATCCGATGAGCATATCTACGATCTGAAAGGATCTGTTTTACTCTGGTACTACGGGCCCTTCTCCCCCTCTTAAGAAAGGAAAACGCGCTTGAGACCTACTCTGTGGGTCCACAAACCCAGATGAGCACTCCTTTGTAATTTGTGCATTCACTTGATGGAGGTGAAGGATTATCAAACAGTCTGTTGTCCGGCACACTATAAAGTCTGCTTCGGAGGACTGCTCATGTTGTTTGTACACGTTGCATTACATTGTTTGATTTGTTATCTGCACCACATCATTTGATTCGTTTTGAACTTGATTTCACTGTGTATGTTATGTGGTTTGAGTTCAGCCTATAATCATTGTTGTATTTTTTGTTATATTTTTCACTGCTAATATTTGAATTTTTGTTTTTTCAGCCCGACACATTATTGCATAAAAGGGTTTATATTAAGGTTCCATCATCAATTATTTTAATACCGTAATACAAAAATAGGTTTTCATTAGCAATTAAATATGCCATTTACCATAATGAATGGTAACACACCTGCCCAGTTTGAAATGTGTTGTGATGCCATTCATTGTGAATGGCACCTCAACATTGCAGAATGCAATGCAGTGCACCACATTTCTGATGAAAGAGCTGTCTTAATGCAACACAGGTTAACATTAAGCATAATGGGCCTTAACTCATGTGTGTTTACACATCACAAGGGATCACTAAAGTGTGAACCAGCCTTACTATTTTTCTGTTCTCAAAGCCCCCAAATCCCTAGCTAAAGTTGTTGCACTCTGCATCAAAGTAGCAGTCTCTGTAGAGTGGTGCAACACGTCCCACAGCCCCACGTCCTAAAAGGAAAAGACATTTAATCACTAGCCCATGCACCCAGAGAAAGTACCTCTATACAATACCACTAAAACAAAAAAAAATTATCCTTAAAAAAAAGGCATTTCTAGTTTTTGATACTATACATGTAACTAAATGAAGCATATACTAAGGAAAAAACAGCTTTATCCACTGCACACATGAATTGATAATTAGCATAACTAAGAAATTATAGCAGTGCCTAAAACAGTAAAATATATAATGGGTGAGACATAAGGAACGTAGCATGGTTTTAATCTCAAATGGATATGGATCTGACATCACACTTTAAGTAAAATGAAGTATGTTTACCTAGCTTTTTTTGTTGTTTTACAGGGCATATGTCTACTTTTTACATTCCACTGGCTGTTAAAACATGTAGAGGAAACAAAGCTTGCAAGAGTTGGAGTGATCATGAGAACCATTTCTTTTCTACTGTTGGCTTTTTCAACAACCAAATGGATGATATTTTTAAGTATGAACAAATCAATTTTAATATTCAGTATTGTAATTGTATTTATTTTGACAGATATAATTCCTTACCATTTACAAAAGTATGCAGTACACATACATCATATTTATGGAATCATTTAAATAGTGTCAAAAGAAAACAGTCTGGACTTTATAAAAGACGATTTAACTTTTAGACCCTACTCATTCCTATGGATGTCTCTGTACTTGAGGTGGAGTACGAGTGCAACCCCATCAATTGGAATTAAGTGCTGTCCTTTAAATCTGTTATTTAACAATAAACAACATGGGAGTGCACTGAATAAATATGAAGGGCTTTTATCTACAGACAATCTTGATGTAAGCCCTCGCAATGAGGGAATATACAATACATTTTTCATTATGATAGGTACAAAAAATCAAATATTAGCACTTGTGAAAAAGACACACATTAACCATATCTCATTTCACACACTCTCCCAAAGGCTAGATTTTTATTATTTACTACCTCGGCCACATTAACTGACTTCACACCTTTGCTACTTTAAATTTAAAAAGAAATAGAATAAAATAGAGCAAGTTCTAAATCCTGTTTTCTTTTTGTCTGTTTTAATTTTTGTGTGTATATTTTTAATAGTTAGCCAACATAATACATTTATGACTTACCTGTTTATTTCTTCAGTTAAAAGGAAAATATATCTGGTTACCATGTAGTGAAAAAATAGGCACCATTTTTATGAGAATTTGACCAATTAAATTCAGAGCCATTTCACTATTCACAATATTCGAGCTATGGGGCTGTTAATTTGACAATAACTATTTTACAACTTATGATAAACTTATCACCACAAAAAGCAGGGACTATAGTTCAGGCAGGTTGCAAAAAGCAATAATGCAAAGCTGATTGCTTGCAATATCTTTGTAGCCAGTTGGTAATGGTACATCCAGTTATGCAATGCATGGTCTACAGTATCATCTGGATTGCTGGTTTTACTAATGCATTTTTATACCTGAGGGAGATATTGATCTTGCATCATCCTGGATACAGCTGCTTGCTTTGTACAGGAGCTTTGGTCCTGCTAGATTCATCTATTTAGCATATATAAGACTTCTATAAGAAGATTCCGGTATTTGGAGATCCGATGAAATGCATTTAATGGCGCTACATACTGTACACCTAGCTGATACCCCCTGTTTTATGACGGAATATTTATCTGGCTTTATATGTACATGTATGCTGCTTACTTGCTATCTTCATCCTTGCCTTCAGCTTCTGTGAATTGCTCATCTGCAGTATCTCCTCATTTATCACTGGATATAGCATCAGCTCTGGAATTATTCTTCAAGAGATTTATCAGCGGTTGTACTGTGTGGATATTCTAGTTGGCATTTTATATGGATTTTTAGTGCTTTGGGCTATGATTTAATTTGGCAGATATATAACCTAACTCTTAGGGGGTTATTCACTATTCACGAACGTTTGGCTAATCCTTCAGCACTCTTCCACTGCAGCAGCCCTTCAGTTCAGCCAGACCAAAGGACTGCTGTATGCGCTATTCACAATAGCACATACAGCAGCTGAAGGCAACTGAAACGCACATGCTTCAGCTCAGCAGAGCCAAACACAAAGCCCGGAGCGGGGGAGAATGGTCTGAATCCCTGTAAAATGGTAAAAAATAGAATAAAAAAACAGCATGTGGTTCCCCTTCCCAATTCATACTAGACCCATTAGGTCTGGTAGGAATATTAAGAGGAACCCCTGATGTAAAAAACCCCCAGAAGCGTGGGGTTCCCCTACAATGTCACGGAACTCGATCCACCCATTTGTTTGCATGTCAAGTGAGTACACAGAGCTGTCATGGAATGAGTGAGCTGTGATGTCACAACTTGCTCCACCCATTTGTTTACATTCAGCCCGGACCTGTCCTTTTGCGGCAGTTGTTTGGTGGTGACAGATGGGTCGGCAGGCAGTGGGACTTTTTTTATTTCGGCAAGTCGGCGGGTGTCGTTCAGCGTGATTGATAATGGATTACATCACTGGACAACCTGATTGACCAGTGGATCACATCGTTGGAGCCTTTTTTGTTTTTAAATAAAGGACTTCTGCTTTTTGGTCAGTTAAAGGACTTTTTCAAGGTGATGTGTTTTTATTTACTTGCTTGTGGATTCTTTGGTGAATGAGTAGGGTTAACAACTATGAAAGGGGGTACCCAGATGCAGATAAGCCCCCCTTCCTGCAGACCCCCACAACTACCGGACCAGGGTTGTGGCGAAGAGGCCCTCATCCTCATCGGCATGGGGATAAGGTGCTGTTCCAAGGGGTCTCTCTTGGCAAAGCACTTTTCGAATGTCAAGAGCATGTGGCCTGGTATGGTGCAAGGAGGGTGGGTGCCAGCTCATCCTCCGTTTTCCTGCCCTGCCAGGCCACTGCTTGGAGCAAGGGTCTGGTATGGAATTTTTTGTAGGTTTCATAATTATTTAACAAAATCTTGTTTCTATACATGTATCCCTTGTTCGGCCCCTTTGAGAGCCATGATTGGGCATAGTAATGATAACTTTGCCCAATCATGGCTCACACAGCTATGTCCTGTCAGGTTGCGGACAAATGTAAACAGTTGGGCAAAGCTAGCTAGCTAACACTGCTAGCTCCGCCCAATTATTTATATTTTACCGGCATCTGTCAGAATGCCATTCTGCATCGGTAGTTCGTCCCAAGCGGACGGTTGGTGTCGTTTTTTAAAAATTATTTCTATTTATTTATTTATTTTTTACTTTGTCCAGTTGTCGTCGTAGACAATGCTGGATGTCGGGATTGACCCTAGGATTATGTCGGTGGATCCATTTTTTGTCAAAAGCATTTGTTGTGTTTTATTTCAATTAAAGGATTTTTTTCTAAGTACAAGTACCCCTTACTCATTCACAAGGGGGGGAGGCGGCATCTAGGTGCCTCTTTATTAAAGGGGTACCCTGATGTGAATAACCCCTACTGCCCGCACCCCCACAACCAACACCCCAGGGCTTGTGGGGAAGAGGACCTTTTCTTTCTTTTTTTAAATGGTGCCCCTCCTAAAATTCCTACCAGACCTTAAGGGTCTGGTTTGACTTTTGGGGGAACCCCAAAAATTGTTTTCCTTTCATTTAAATTGGGTCCCTCCTAACATTCCTACCAGACCTAAAGGGTCTGGTATTGTTTGGGAAGGGGAACTGCACGCTTTTTTTATATAAATGTAATTTTATTCTTTAGAAATGTCATTTTTGCTGCAGCAGGTTCTATACATCGTACAGATGTGCCACTTTACAGGCAGTTTAAGGGGATACCCCAGGCATGATATTTAAAGAAATGTTAAAAAGAATTTTGGTTTACTTTAAGCAAAGTGAACCAAAGTGCCCTTTAAAAAAAGGTATTTTTTAAAAGTGTTTTTTCTTTGATACAGGTGACCTGGGGCAGTATCCGAATCCCCTTGCCCTTATTATGGCCAATAACTTGCATATAAGCCTTCAAGAAGGGGACACTTGAGTTTCAGAGTTCTGGTCCCATGGACTTTTATTGAGTTTGAAGTTTGAGTTCGAACTTTTTCTATGTTCTAAAGTTTGAACTCGAACCGAATTCAGGTGTCTTCGGACCATCACTAACCCTGACAGCCACCATGGAGATACCAGTCACCCAGAAGGAACAGGTGAGTCCAGGACATATAGGGGCGAGGGTCAGGCAGGAGGAGCGGCATTTTAAAAACACTGTAAAAGTGATCGTGTAGCTTTACAGTCACCTGAATCACTTCTACAGAAAGCTGGCAGACAGGAGTAAAAATGTAAAGAAACCCCTGGCTGCTATAGCAGCTGGGAGCCTGTTTACATGCTGGTGCTGCTGCCAAGATAATAGTTACATTTGACCACCCTGAAGGGTCAACAGCAGCTTTCCAGTATATGTGCCTCCAGAAAAGTAAGTATTGAGCCTCTTCTTTTTTTTTTTTACAGATCATGACAGGGTTTCTTTCACTAATGAAAAATTCTATTAGTTTAGCTGCCATTTTAAGAAGTCCTATACTCCATTATAGTCTATTTTATATAGACCTATAGTCATATAGCATGTCATAAACTAAAAAGTGTACCGACCAAATAGACCTAGCCTAGTTCCAACAATGTGACAATATGTCTTTGCCAAAAATCTAAATTTCTTCTGTTTTATTGTAGCACACTACAGCAATAAAGTCATAATGGCTTTCTGATGTTGGAAGATGTCAAATGTTTAATTTTTATGACCTCCTTTTTACTTTATTAAGGATAGTTAATGGTGGGTGAATTGTGGCAGTAAATTTTAAACATGGTGCTTTTTAAGGCTATAATCATTCTTTCTGCCTTTCTTTAACATTTTGCTGACATCAGCTTTATGACAATGTATCACTGTTTCTCAATCATGGATATTGCTGAGTTGATAATCATTGCGGTTAATAAAATGAAAATATGACCTTGTGTAAAACAATCGTCTGCTATAACTAGTAACATTTGGTGAAACAATAAGCTGTACTATACGGGGCGCATTTTAACAGGATCATGCAGATTAAACTAACTTTCCAAAATGAGGTATATAAAAAGTATGTATAGAGCAGAATATAAAATTAGAAGTACAAAACATGAAGTTGAAGCTCCGCTGCTGCTGCTGCTGCAGTACAGAAAGACACGGCTGGAGTATATTAAATGACAAGAAAGTTAATAAACGGAATAGGGTCTGATTTAATAGAAGATTAATGATTACTTTCCTGATTAAACCTATGCATGGTTCAAACCCTTAATCCATTTCAAGACAAATGTGTGTGTATATATGAATCTTTGTTACACAGGTTGAAAAAGCCACAAGTTAATTAAGTTGAGCCAAACAAAAAATAATCAAATAATTAAATGAACAAATGTATCAATCCATTAATACAGAACTCTAAACTCACAGCGGATCCAGAGGACAGCAAATAAACACTTGTAAAGTGAAATATCCACAACAAAGGCATGGTCCACTTTGCACCAACAGGTGAA